GGCAGTATAATACAGCGTTAAGAGTATCAGGCTCCATTAAATTTAAGAAGAAGTTGGAGCGAGTGTAGTGCATCTGAAGCAGAGTGCTGCACTTGGGGACACAGGGACCTCTGAAGGGGACATCGCAGTGTTTGTAGTGTGAAGTAGGGAGAGGGAGTTTGGGAAAGGGCTTGTGGCTTGGAGAAAGGATACATGTGCATAGTGGAAAAGAAAGTAGTTTAATTTGAGAAGTTTGAGAAACACATTCACAGTATTATCTCTGAGTAGGGTTCCACAATTTTTTTGATTATCAGGGATATGGACAGAGGAATAATAAAGGATTCCTCATGTGTGTCTGAAACAAAACACAAACAGTGGTTTTGATGAGACTACAACATTATAGCATGTCTTAAAGCTCACAAGAATCCATTTTGTGTAATATAGGACCTTTAAGTGATACTTTATCGTCAGTGCAATTGTGGCACAAAGGTAAATAGTTTTGTGATTTTCAAGTAAATGTGGCTTATTGGTCATCATCATCAATACAAATGAAATCTAATTTACTTCACCTCAGATTCACAGAGTGCTGGCCTCTTTGATTGTTTTTTTTTTTCTCTTTATTTTTATCTAGTAAGGTCAGATCATGCGTGTCCCCGATTAGCTGATCTACCTGTCAATCCCGCCCATTTGGAAATGGGGAGATTGAAGTATTGTATCCTAGTTTGTATCCAGGCAAGCATACAAACCAGAATGCTGTAATCATAGCTGTAAGAATTATTACAGACAAGATTAGGAATGCATTTATTCATTTATATGAGCATGAGAAACATTTAACAAAGGCTCAAATTCTAATTTATGACACAGAGCAAAAGATTACTTTAGATTAGCCTTCTTTCTACATTAGTAGCAAAGAAAATGCAGCTTCTGGTTGCAGTCCCTTGAATTCCACTCTGTGATGCGCTCCGCCTTGACCGTCTTCACATCCAGACTGTCCACCGGTGTGCCAGTCACCCTCAAAGCCCCACACCTCATCGCAGGACACCAGGGCTGCTCTTTTGGTCCCCAGGCTTTGTACTCAAGCGGCTGTCCATCCATCCACATCCACTCGTCACCCAAAAAGCGCAAACCAACCCAGACGTGCTCAGTAGTGGAGACATATTTGTGCAGTTCACTTCGTATCAGCATCATCTCTGTCTCCGAGGCAACGCTGGCCAGGTCTTGGTGATTCTCTCGGCAGAACTTCAGAGCCTCCTCCCAGGTCATCCTCTCCCTCACGACATGCACCTTGTAGCAGAGGAAGTGGGTTCTATAACTCGTGTAATCAACGTTGTACCACTTGTAGTTCACGAGTATCCCAAAATCACCTTGTGAGCTCAGCTTGCCACTATCCCAAAAGGTTGAAGTTACTTCTTTTCCTCCAGACCACATCCAATTTCCATTTGAAGTGTTCCTCATGAGTCCAAACCAGATGTACTGTACTGTTTTTAAGCCATTCTCAGCATTTTGAAGAAGACTCATATCATACTCACTGCTAACAGGAGCCAGGTCGGTGTAGTGGGCCCTGCAGTATACCTGAGTACCTTTCCAGTTGTCAGAAATGTTAATATACACATACTTGAGCGAACTGGAGATAACTGCAAACAGGAGCACGAGGAGTATGATGCCTGAAGCCATATCTGTTAAATGAGGAGGTACACAGAGTCTACAGAGCTTTTACTACTCTCAAGATCTTTTGTTTTTGCATAAGGAGGGCCATATTCAAAGTTGTGTTGTACTGATGGTGAAGAGGAGAAGTTGGAGAGACTGATGTCTTGTATCATGTACATGTATCTGTACTTTCTACTCCACTACATTCTAAATCTGAACTGAAAAGTAGAAAGTAGCACATTTATTCTGAGTTACCATCCTGACTTTGAGCAACCCTAATACACAAAAGCAGCTAGAAAAATTCAGAAATCAATGGAATCACTTAAAATCTTCACAATTCTTTATCAAAATCATTAAATTTCATCCTTTAATTGTTCTAAAAATCTCTGCAGAATACTTTTACTTTTTACTCTTAGTACATTTTTAAACAGGCACCGTAATATTTTTACTATTACTATAATAGATTTTTTCATGTGATACATTTACTTGAGTAACCTTTTACTTTTGTATCTCTAGATTTACTTGAGTAACAAAATTTAGTATTTCATCCACCTCTGGAAACACGACGACAAGTTCAAACACTGCTTTGTGGAGGACCCGCTCTGGCTGTGTTTTTTCTGCATTTTTGGATCAGTTTAGTTCTGTATTTCTGGACCTGGTTGGTATTTCCCTGCGAATGACTGATGCCCGGACTAAACCAAGAGAGGGATTATCAAGTGTCCACACTTAAATTGCAAAATGAGTTCATCAATTCACACACCAAAATGGTTTTGAATTTTGTATTTTTAAACCAAAATCTAACTGAAAATCTTATTCTTACCTTTTTAAGATTTATTTTAAAGGTGCACTATGTAAATTTTGCTTGGGGATCCATCACCTGCTTGTTTCTATGGAGATATCAGTGCTCTGCCTGGAATGTTAGCTGTACTTCACATTTATTCAATTACAGGTGGGTTTATAGCTCAAACGTACCTAGAAAAACAGGTATTCTGACTGAGCGGGATTGCCTCTCCACAGATCTGACCTTGGTCTGGTTTGGGGTCCATGAGGATAGAAAGGTTTAATGCCATACTGTGAAACATTTCATACAAAGCAATAACATGGAAAAAATTATTTGACAGGCCCTCCACCAGAAAAGTTACAGAACTGACCTTTAAATTGAAAATCAAATGAACCATACATTGAACTTTGAACAGTGCTTTATCTATTTTTCAGGTCTTTTGGCCACTTTTATTTATTTTACTTAAACACATATAATCAATATCATATTTCTGTTAAAGATGAAACATGAACTACTGTACTATATTGCCATTTATGTCAGATTTGTGTATTTTTTGTCTGCCAAGTATTTAAAATAATACAATAATTTTCTTAGTTTGTAAAGTTTGTACGTTAGTAGTAAGTAGAGTGAATGGCACACTTTTTCCTTTAGAGTCTTTGAATGTTTTTGTTTGGTTTATGGATACATTAAATGCACAGTTTTACCTGAGATAATCCCATACTGACTGTGAGTCCACTCTCCAACAGTAGAGCCAGACCACACTGACGTTGCTGTGAGAAGTCTGTGGTACTACATCTGCATGTCTGTTCCATCTTGTGAATTTGACAAAGAAGATGTTTGTTGCTGTTTGAATGTGAAATCTTATATGCAAACATATTCAAAGGACATCCCCATGCGCTAAAGCCATGACGGAAAGTCATTTATTTAATGGTTCTCAAGGATTAGCGGCATTTGCATGACTTTTGGTTCTAGTCCCAAAAGTTCAGGAAAGGCAACATAAGCCCCACCCTTTTCTTGTCCAGCCGTGCCCATTTTCAGAAGTGGCTCTGTGTTTGTGCATGGATTTGCATGTGAGCTTCACTTTCATCTGTAGCACTATGAACTCTTTAAAACTATGTGGAAAGAAGTACAATGAAGTAATAAGACTCAAACCTTATGTATTTTGTATGTACATCACCATCAGTTTTACAGTATCCATGTCTTATCTAACATTAATTCTATTTTGCTGTAATGCTGTTTATTTAAATGATGTTAACATACAGATAAAAAAAAAAAAAGCATCTACAGGGTTGTGTGATCCGATCCACTTTATATTTTTACCAAAGTTCTGCACATAGAAAAATACAAATTTAAAATCTACTGTTTAATGCAATAAAAACATGATGATAAACAACTGAGTAAAAACAAATACAAATAAAACAGTAAAATAGACATATAAGAATACATAAATAAAGTCAATTAAAAAAATAAAAGACGATAAAGACGACAGTGATGTCACTTCTTGATCCAAGGCACATCTATTTATTTTTTCTTTTTGCAGCAACATATCTTGTGTTAAAAAAGGATTGCAATCATTAAAATTAACAAAGTTATAAGTAACACGAAGTGTATGAGGTTGAGGTAAGAAGCTAAGATGATTATTAGTTAGATTATTACTACTTTTTTTTTACATACTTGATACCATTTGTAGTTAAACTTGTTTGAGACTTGTATGATGAATAAGGAACAAAAATAAAACTAGAAATTAGCGGTAAAAATGCCGGAAGTGACATCACTTAATCCTATCTAATCAAATATTCACTTTAAAGGTACATTGTGTAACTTTTCTGGTGGAGGGTCTGCAATGTTTCACAGTATGGTATTAAACCTTTCTATCTTTATGGAGACCAGATCTGTGGAGAGACAACCCCGCTCACAGTCGGAATGCTTGTTTTTTTTGGTATTTTTGAGCTATAAAACCATCTGTAATTGAATAAATGTACAGTGGAACTGTTTAATGTCATACTGTGGAACATTTCAGGCAGAGCAGGAACATATCCTTAGAAACAAACAGGTGTTGGACCTCCAACCAAAAAGTTACATAGTGCACCTTTAATGTTGAAATTTTTAACTAATATTGATATTTCCTGGAATGATCTGCACAATGATTTCAATGTAGCATTGATGGTTATATTACAAGTGTTTTATGTTAATGCTAAAAATGCTTAAAAAAATACAAATAAAATAAAATAAATCTACAATTTTACTGTGAGCAGAGTAGTCTCTTCAGAGATCTGACATGTAACTTGTCACGGTGGTGTCACTTGCTTGACTCCATGGCAATAAATTAACACCATACTGTAGTGTAGAACATTCCACGCAAAACAATAACATCTCCATGGAGACAAGAAAGTAGCGAACCCTCTACCTGAAACAATATAGATTTGAAAAACCTTCCTTTTTGCTTCCACGATCTACAGCTCATCTCATTTGGTCTTTTATTTACTGAATGCCCTTTGCCATAACATCATTCATTTCTAGGATTGTTGCATGTTCTTTGTGTGTCATCATTTGTGTGAGTTCTTTGCTTATGATGATCTTGTGTCTTTTCCAGGCCGTACTCCTCCTGGACTGGCCAAAACTCCCCTGTCTGCCCTGGGAATGAAGCCACACGCACACGGAGGATCAGGTCAGTGCCAAACATATAAATTTTACTCTGAATTTTACCACTGAACTGCAGTACTGTTGTTACTTTAGTAGTTAATATGGTAGAAGAGGTAATATGTAGTAGTTGTTAAGAACATGTTAATAGCTGTAGTAGTAGTAGTAGTTATAGTTGTAGTTAGAGGACTCCAGTAATCATAAATAATAGCAGTTCAGGGTCTAAAAGATTCACTTAAAGGAACTGCATGTAGCCTGTTTTTTTTTTCTGTTTTAAAAAGTTATTACAATCACAAGTGAACCTGCAGATAGAGGACACAGCCAAGTTTTTCTCATTCCCAGTATATGGACAGACCATGCCACACAGAACCTCCAGAATTCCCTCCCTGAGCTGCAGAGGCTGCACTAGCACTGATCCATGATAGGTGCAGGTGCCGGTGTTTAGGTAGTGACCAGTCAGATTAAAGACATTTTATGTTTTAGGTTTAAACCAACTGGATTTCAGCATTGAACCAGCAACCCAAATGAGAGACTCATGTGAGGCTCATTCAGTCAAAACTATATTTGATTTGAATAAATGCTTTGAATGAATGATGCTTAGCTCGTATCTGAAGACACATATAAATCAACTATATTACATTTTCAGGTTAAGGAAATCTAAAATCAAAATCGTACAGTTCCTTTAAGGGTTTAAGAGTTTATTTAACAATTCAAATCAATAATATATCTCAAATAAAAGAATGAAGTTAAGGTTGTGTATCTGAGAAATGTATCGGCAAAAGCTGGAGGGTTACATGTGCCTCTTTAACGCCCGGTGTACACTGACAGCAAGTGCAATGCGGTTCAGGACACATGCAGGTCCTGCAAGACTTAAAAAGTCATTCAAATGAGTTGCACCGTGCCACACTGACCTCTGACCACTGCCACGCTGACCTCAGTGCGGTGTGGGTCGCAGGCCTGTGGAAAGAATCCGCAGGAAGTCTATCTTTGTTGAACACCGCAGCAGTCTCTGACGTCAAGCTGACAAAATGGCATGAGCAAAACATGACTAATTTCAGAATCAAATATCCCTGCACACTCTTTGTACTTCGCAAATCTACTTACGCACTGTAGATGGCCACGGTACCCAAAAGCAGGAGAAAGTGGTATCCAAAAGCACGAGAAAATGTGGTGTGAAATGCCGCTGTTGCTTACCAACCAGGTTTCTTGTACAGGCTAATGTATCACGTGAACTCCCACCCAGAGCATGAATCTCTGCAAACACGTTGTTTTGGGAGCTCAGTTTCTACACTCTGCCCGCAACCCATTGCAATTGCACAGCAGCAGAACTGCACCCCACCTGCAGTCAGTGTAAATCTGCCGTAAAAGAGGCAGGTACAGTACGCAGTGGTATTTATTCATGGATTTTAACAGTAGTAGTAGTTGTAACTATAAAAACATTGTAACAATAAAAGATATTTGCCACATTTGCCCTCTAATGCTTAAAGCTATACTGACACGTGCTAATGCTAACGCTAACCCGCTGTGCACTCCTCTTTCCTCACTTCCCCCTGTTTTCTGATTGGCTGATGGCAGACTCTGAATCTAATGATGGAGAGCAAGGTAAGAAGACATTCCTCCTGCGAAGCTTTCTGCATGACCCCCTGCACACTTGCCTACGCACATAAAAAAGTAAATATGCAATATCTCATTGATAATATTTATATTATAGTTTCAAGAAGACATATTGTACTTGTATCTGCTATATAATTATAAACTATGATGCCCATGGATCATTGTGTTATAATTTGAACATTTTAAATTGCATTGTTCATCTAAATTACTTCAAAGTGCAAAGTTTTTGATTGGGGGTTGACTGGAATGTTCCACAGTATGACAGTATGGTGGATATATAGTGCAAAAATACCTACAAAAAAAACAGGCATTCTGACTGTGAGTGAGGTCGTCTCGCCACAGATCTGAGCTGTAACTTGATCTGGTTTGGTCACTATGAAGAGAGAAAGGTTTGATAACATTCTGTGAAACATTCCAGACAAAGAAATAACTTCAGAGAAAAGCATTTGACAGACCCTCCACCAGAAAGGTTACACAACGCATCTTCAAGTCCACTGATTTCCGTGTTAGAAAACTGCGACGTCCAGCGGGAGCTGACGTCGCCATAAACCTCATCACAACATTCACACAATACACATTCTTTTTCCGTTTACGCTGAAATTACAATGCAACGCTGCTCCATGTATCACAGATTAAGAAAATAAAATTGGAGAATGAAACACCATCTTGAATACAGGAGAATCAAGGTCACTCAAACATGCATGAATCACTCTAAATACAACTTCTAGACAATAAATGAAAAGGGGAAACAACTATAAAAGCTCTTAAGAATCAGTTTTGCACTATACTTCTCTTTTAAATCCAGGTGATAACTTTATGTGGCCAGGAAATCTTAAGTTTTACCAGTTTAACTCTCCAAAAGAGCGTGTATCTGAAAGCAGTTTTTCATTTGAGCTGGTCTTGTTTTGCAGATGGTGTAATGGAATCCAGAGCACAACAAGTCTCAGCCCCCATCACCTCCAGAAGTCCTGTGCACGCCACTGATGGGTACGTGTCTTTTGTCGGGTTGTCAAAAGTGTCGGAAATCAGATACTATAGTCGATGCTAAAACTAGTATGTCAAATCTAGATATTTTTGAAGAAATGAAGCTAGAGAAAGAATAGCTTTAGAATGATCTTGAGCTTTATCCGAACAAGTATAAGAGCACATGGAGCACTATGGAACCTACCTGGACCACTGACGGATTACACACATATAAGACCACATGGGAATAGAAAAGAAAGTACTGCCATTTAATGTTGAAAATTACATACTATTGTCTAAAGAAAGAATGTTTTTATTATCATTTTAGTACTAGAATTGGTATCAAGTATCGAGTCTATCCCTTAGGATCGAAATTGAGTTTGAAATTTTAGTCGCAGAAACTCTAGTCTCATGTACTTCTATTTGAAACCAGATGTATTGTCATAAAAAGTAAAATAGCTCAGGACAGTGACTAGCAGTAGGTAGATAAGCATTAAGTCGGTTAGGGAATTACCTTTTTCTTGAAGAATTAAAAAATAGTTACAGTTTTTTGTATAAATTACAAATGTATCCGCATTTTTTATTGATCAGAATGGGTCCATAGTCTGGCCCTGTGTTAAAGTGGGATTTTAAACACAACATTAACTTTTTTTCGCTGCTGAACTATCTTAGGGCTAGGTATCATTCAGAAGTTTCCGATACGATACATACCTCGATACATAGGCCACGATACAATGCATTTCTTACTTTCGATTGGATACAATACATTTCAAATCGTTTCGACATGGTTCAATAAAAAATAAAGGCTAAATCATGGCTGTGATACTAAAAGTCTTTGTTAAACCACTTCTTGCGCAAAGTGAAAATGAAACACAAACATTTTAATCATCAAAACAGTGAATATGTCAAATGTGTTGCATAAACGAGTTTCCTTCCACTAAACAAGCATCAAAACTGTAGCACTGGAACAAAATAATTTTAGTAAAATATACCAAAAAATACTTGATATATCGATACAGCAGCCCACGATACTGTAACATCACATTAAACGATACGATATATAGATATTTAAATATTTTTGCACACCTCTAGTGTATATGGTGTTTTAATAGAATTGTCTACAGTTCAGGGACAAGTTTGAAATGTGGATACCTGTTAGACCAGTCACACAAAAGAAGACACACACAAAAATGCTCATAAGTGCAACAGTTTGAATGAATGTGAGTAAATGTGAGTCTTGTTGTGCTTGCAGCAGAGTCCCCATCAGACCCGGGTCTCCTGAGGGCTCGCAGGTGAATATCATGGGTCTGCACACGGTCCCAGGCAGCCCCAACACCCTGCACCGCACCGTGGCCACGAACACGCCCCCCAGCCCCGCCCTGCAGAGACGCCTGGGTCAGGGCAGCCCCTCCCTCGCCCGCCACCAGCCCCCGCCCCCGTGCCCTCCAGCCCACTCATCGCCCGCAAAGCGCCTGCCGCCGCTGCAGTAGCGGGCACGGGCGCAGCCATACCCCCCAGTCCCCTCATGGGCAGGAGACCCACCCCCAGCGGTCACAGCACGCCGGACGACACGAGCTCCCGCCACACGCCCGCCTTTCAAGCGTCCCCGCAGCTGCCCGATAAAAGACACATGTCCAGTGGTGACGCCGAGAGGACAGACAACAAGAATCTCACACCCACTCCAGCCAGCGGGGGCAGCACTCCCAACCTGACAGGGACGCACATGCTCCCAGACACACCCAAGTCCATATATGGTGAGAGAGAGGATTTGTGGAGTGATTATGCAACCTGATTTGTAAATAATATATATGTCTATGTATTTATAAGCTCCATGCTGCTAGTAGCTGTCCTGTAGTAGCAGCAGTAGTAGTAGTAGTTTATCCTTTCATTTTGCACCGCTACAAAAAACATAGACTACAACTCCATTTGGATCATGACCAAAAGGGTTTAGGCTGAAGTAAAAGTACAATGCCTAATTCTATTAAACAATGACAGAATTCCAGAACTCCTGCTAACAGAGGTGGATACAGTAGCCAAAAACTCTACGCAAGTAATAGTAATGTTACTTCAAAAGATTATTATTAAGTAGAAATAGTAAGAGCAAGTGTAAAAAAGTATTTGGAAAAAAGGTAAGAGTAACTTAAAGATGCTTAGACGTAACATCTGATTTATCATTTTAAGTTAATGTAAATTAAAGGACAAAACCTTTAATAATAATAATAATAATAATAATAATAATAATAATAATAATAATAAAATTTGGTCTAGATGGGGGTTTGTTTTTCTGGACTCCAGAGTTTTAGAGGCCCTGAATTGGATCTACTTTCTATGAATTTTTATATTATATTATTATATTATATTATATTATATTATTATTATATTATTTATATTATAATGTAATAATAACTATCGTATCTTCTCCTTTCTAATCAGACGGCTATCCCGACATCAAAATGAACGTCAAGTTTGTCCAGGACACGTCCAAGTTTTGGTACAAGCCGGACATCTCCAGAGAACAAGGTGAGTTTGGCCTCAGCCACAGTAAATCTCCCAGGCTCATTTAAAGCACAGCACGCATTACCTTTGAATTCACCGTCTTTATTTCCATGCCGTCCTCTCCCCCAGCGATCAATCTGCTGAAGGACAGGGAGCCAGGCGCGTTCATCATCCGGGACAGTCACTCTTTCCGCGGGGCCTACGGGCTGGCTATGAAGGTGGCCTGCCCCCCTCCCACCATCCAGCAGAACAAGAAAGGTAAAGCTGTGATAGGCTTGTCAAAAGTATCGGAAATCAGACACTAATCGATACAAAAAAAGTTCACGTTGACAGGACAGAAATTAAGCTTTTCTGAGTAGCTTTAGAATGACGCAACTCAAATTTGATCAGAATACAAAGAAATAACCAAATATTCAAACTAGTACAAAAAAGTATATAATAGTTGTCAGAAAGTATTGTTGAATCTGTCATATACTGAAACAGTCAATGTAGAATTTAGCGTGACAGGCATAATGGTAATGTCAAAGACAGTACTATGCTTTAATGTTGAAAATCACATTCTAGAAAGAGAGTTTTTATGATCATTGTAGTATGAGAATTGGTATTGAGTGTTGAGTTTGTTCCTTACTATCGAAAATCAAGTTTGAAATGTCAATATCGTGACAACACTAAGCTGCTTTTCTGTTTATGGCATCTCTGAAGTTGTAATTACTGAACATTTGATTTTGTAGTGGGGGATATGACCAACGAGCTGGTGAGACACTTCCTGATTGAGACCAGTCCAAAAGGAGTCCGGCTTAAGGGCTGTCCCAACGAACCCTACTTCGGTGAGCATATGTCTTTGGACTGTTTTTAGTGGGAGGATAACTATGGCCATTGACATGCACTAGCCTAGCACCAGTGACCTCTGCAAATACAAGGACTGGATGGAATATTTCAAAAAGTGTCTCCACACATCTCCAACACTCCGACTCACTTGGAAATGAGGCCCTATGTCCAAATTCCGGATTGTCCCTTTAAACTTAATTATTAATGCATTAATTGTATTACCAGAAAAAATAAAACACTTGCTGTGAGCAGTCACCTCTCCCCAGATTGGACCGGTAAACTGACCTGATAGTGTCACCTTCTTGTCCAGATTTACACCTCCGCGGGCGCTCTGAGCTCCAGCTCGTGGTACCCAGGACGAGACTTAAAACCAGGAGGGGCAGAGCCTTCTCTGTGGTCGGACCCAAGCTCTGGAACGCTCTGTCCCCCCATGTCCCAAAAGCCCCCCCAGTGGAATGTTTTAAGTCTCGTCTTAAGACCCACTTTTGCTCTGTGGCTTTTTACACCATCTGTGTTTTTTTAATTTATTTTATTTTTTATGTACTTATTTATTGCTATTTTATGATTTTTTTTATGGTTTTGCTTTTATTAGATTTTTTCTGTTTGTATTGTTTTAGGACTGTATTACCTAACTTTTAGCAATTTACCTTTTGTTGTTTTAATTTTATGATCTCTCAGCAGCACTTTGGGAACTGCTTTGTTTGTGCCCGATAAAGTGGATTTGGATTTGGAAGGTCCTCCACCAGAAAAAAAATTAACATATTTTAGAACATAGGCTACAGACTCATGGCAGGCATAGGGAGTGAAAGAACGTTGAGAGTCTGTAAAAGCACCGTAACATGTTTTTTCATGTTCATGTGGCTTTGTCCAGGTTGTCTGTCCGCTCTGGTGTACCAACACTCCATGACCCCCCTGGCTCTGCCCTGTAAGCTCATGATCCCCACTAAAGGTCAGTCTGTTCTTCCACCTCTTATTCAGTATTTCTATTCACATTTCAAAACTTACAGTGGTCATATTTTTACTCGCAGACCCGAATGAAGAAGCCCTGGAACTGGCCACACCCACAGACCCGGTGGTGGAGCTCCTCAAACAGGGAGCAGGTGAGTGAACAGGGCTCTTCATCAACTCCTCTATTTTTTACACAGAATAAGATTTATAATGTGTCTATTACATCACTATAGTCCAGAAGCCTCCTGAAGAAGCCCACGGTAAATACTACTTTGTATCGGAATGTATACTACTTTTGCATTTCCATCCCACTGAGAAATACTCACTGCACTGCCCTCCACCATTTTGTATTTATGTTACTTTAAGGTTATTTGACTAAAATGCTATTAGGCCAGATTGTCAGACTATCACGATAATTACAATATTTAGATTTATTGTTCAATACATGAGCTGGAACAATATGTTTTGGGGCTCATTATTTATTGTTGGTGCTTTTTTTGCAGTAGTGAGGAGATTTTAGACATTTTTATGTAATACTATAAGATTTGAGGTGTAGAGGGGAGAATAAATAACTGCTAAGGCTAATTATTGGTTCATTTTCTCGTTGCAGCTCAGTCCTTTTGAATGATAGTCTTTTTAAAAATGGGTTTACTGTTATTCCCCTGCTTTGTGTCAGCGGTTTAAAGTCGATTCAGTTTTATTGAACATGACAGGCCTAGCCCAACTGAGTTTAATAGGTTTTTTTTGTCTAACCCAAATGCAATGCAAATTTGGAGTGATATACTGTACTGTGAGTGATAGTACTGTATATTACTGTAGTACATCACAGCTCCTCATTTATCAACTCTAAAGAGAAAAGTATTTTTCTAAAAACATATATTTTTTATGAGAAGCATTAAGTCTTCTCAAGGCACAGGGCTCACATCTGAGTCAGGTCCCAAGTCATTGACCTTCAAGTCCAAGTCGAGTCCCAAGTCTTAGTCCATTTTATCAAGCCAAGTCTCAAGTCCTAAAAATAGTGACTCAAGTCATGACTCGCAAGTCCCACCTCTGTTGCTTTTCACTACTCTCAAAGACCAGTGCGCTAATGCAACAAATAGCATGCTAACAGCACACTTCCTGATTCTTTAAGGGTAAACCATGTTATAATTAGACGAAGGCAGCATTTCTAATTTAAAGTACAATATAGAGTTGTTGAAAGTATTGAAAATCAAATACTAACCGATACTTTGAACAGGGATCGATACAAAAAAAGTCACATTCACAGGACGGAAATGAAGCTTTCTTAAGAATGATCTTGAGCTGTATCAGAAAGTATAAGAGCACGTAGGCTAGTATACGCTATGATTTACTCTGATTTAATGTGGAAATGAAAGAATGTTTTCATCATGGTATCAGGAATGGTATTGAGGATCCCGTCTAGTATGGAAAATTGAGTTCAAAATGTTACACTAATACAATGTCTGAATAGCATTATTGTCAAAACAGGAGAAAAACTGTGATCTTTTCAAAGTTTATGTCAAAGCCTGCTACATCCATGCATCCCCCCTCCCCTCCTGCCTGTATCCACGCTGACAGCCCGATTCAGCAGGTCATGTGATCGTTCCACCGCGCATGATGCCCCCTAACTCCCCAGCATCCATCACTGTCGGCATGCCCCTTCCCCACCCCCTCCCCCTCCCCCGTACGTCCTCGCTCGCCGACCGTCTCACCGTGCCCCCCCGCTGTCCCTGTCCCCGCAGCCTGCAACGTCCTCTACATCAACTCCGTGGACATGGAGTCTCTCACGGGTCCCCAGGCCATCGCCAAAGCCATCACCCAGACGCTGTCCACCAACCCCCTGCCCGCCGCCACCACCGTCCACTTCAAGGTGTCCGCGCAGGGCATCACACTCACCGACAGCCACAGGAAGTAAGGAGGCACCTCAGCTCACAAGGTTTTTGAATACAGACAAAAGAACGTACAGTTAGTTCATTTGTTTTTTTGTTTCGTAGGATTTTCTTCAGAAGACATTATCCCCTCAACACGGTTACCTTCTGCGATATTGATCCCCAGGACAGAAAGTAAGGCCCATAAACTACTCTCATTTGTTGGTGAAAGTGTGGTTTCTTTATGACTTTGCATGTTTTTGTTTTTGCAGATGGGGCAAAGAAGGAGGTGGTTTAGTAAGGTAAGAGTAAAGAGAAAAATAAAAAGACAATTTGATGGTAGGGTGACCAGATGTCCAGCTTTGAGTGGAGTTCGTACTTTCTCTCTTTCTGCTTTTAGTGCAGGATCTCTTTGTTCATCGAGTGATCCTGAAGCTTAGTTTCCATGATGGTTTTGCATGTTAAGGATTTGCTTAAATGACAACATAACTCTTCCCGTGGTGCTTTCAAAATAAACTTTCTACATTTATCCACTGCAGAACAGCCTCAGACTCAAACTGAACAAACAACACAAACACACAAGTATTTAGGAATTAGGGAGTCTTAATTGCTTCGTTTTAAGCAAAACATTGTCCAAAATGCAGCAGGGACAAACAGGGAGTGGAGAAGCAATGAAAAAAGAAATAAGATATATAAACATGTTTTTTTTTCAACAACATCTCTGTCACATTTTGTCCCACTTAAACAAAGGTGCTGTCCCACATTTTGCTGAATTCCATCTCTTCACATTAATTTGATGCGTGTTAACAACATTAATTGTACAGTGATGTGAGAGCTAGACTAGAATATAACGTTGGCACCATCTTGTGGTAACTTTACACATCACAGTTCCGGACTCCATCTGTGCAAAGTCCTATACAAAAGAATGAACTTAACCTGTTCATGTTCCAAATTTAAAAATGTATTTCTGTTTAACCAGTTTCTGATGAAAGAGAACTGTCAATCTCATGGACGTGTGAAACATTAATGAAAATCTGTTACCAACTTTCAGTCAATTCAAACGTTTAGAGAAGAATCTGGAGCAGTTTGTGTTTAAAAAAAAAAAAAAGCCAAAAATTCTATATGAATGAATATATGAATATGAATGGACTTTTTTTTTTCCTCATTAGAAATACCTAAATCACATGTTTAGTGAGATCTGCTTCAGCTTTGACGTGGGAGTTGTGAAGACCCAGCAAATGCTCAGTCTGCTTCTATCAGATCATCCCCAACTGCTATACCTATTCTTATATTTGCCCCCCAAAAATTTAGACAGAATTTGAAATCTGATTTTTCTCTTTGTAGAACTTGTTTTTGCTTAAAATGAGAGTACGGAGAACAACGAGAAGACAGCAGAGCCCAAAACGATAGAGCTTCAGCTTTCACAAAGACTCATTTGTCATTTGTCTGGCATTTTAGGAAAAATAGACCGAAACACTGAGGGGTTTTAAAGGAACAGTCCGACAATTACAACTGAACCTGTGTTGCTAGAGCTTTAATCTACAGACAGAGGACACATACAAGTTTGTCTCATTCTCAGTTTATGGACAGGCTTCATGTGAAAGCTCAGAACCTCCAGAATTCCACTGACTCATGACTGGCTGTAGGTGCTGGGGTTTAGTAGCCTGATTCATCAGCCAGTTTCACTTCGTAGAAACCGTCTGACCTTGCAGCGTTAGAATTCGTTCGCTCGACGGTAGGCAGGTACTTTTTATCATTTAACCAATCGCTCCCAAATCCCGTAGGAAAAAGGGCAATAACGTCTTTACCCTTGATAAAATTTACTAAACATTCTCTTTGTTCCGGCTTTAAATCCTCAATCTCAGGAATAATTGACAACACTGAATGTCTGTCTCTTCGCTGATTGGCTGGTGCCCGAACTTGCACTTCCGGAGTTCTTGCAAACCATCTAGTCTATTCTGATTTTTGACCCAGTCACTGGAGAGAAATGGAATTGAGCGGAGGAACTAGGTGGTGCCAGCCTGGCTAGAGGTTTAGGGAGTGACCATTCAGATCAGAGAGAAAGGTGTTTTGTTTTTATTGATTGTTTTTCAGCTTTCAGTTATATACAACATTTTGAGAACATTTTCCCATTCCAAAATATACTATGTTTAAAAAAAAAAGTTGTTCATCATTCTGAAACTTATGGATTATTTGTTTTGTTTTGTTTTCTTTGGCAGCAGATATCATTTTCCATTACTCCAATCCCATGCACACAATATTTGATCCGCTTACACTTTTTATTGTTGAACTTTTGTGTCAAACCTGTTACAAATATTTCTCCATAAAACACAAAAGATAAAAATGAATATTCTTAACACTATTTCTATCTTTTCGATCTTGTTTTCAGGCTTTTTGGTTTTGTGGCGAGGAAACAAGGAAGCACAACGGACAACGTGAGCCACCTGTTCGCCGAGCTGGAGCCGGATCAGCCCGCCTCCGCCATCGTCAGCTTCGTGTCGCGGATGATGAAGCGGTGAAAGCCCCTGTGCGCGCGGCGGCCATACCGGACCTCCTCCTCCTCCGTCATTGGTGTCTCTCTCACCGGGAAGACTTTTTGATTTTCGTCCCGTCTCTTTTGCCTTGCTGGTTTGTCTTGAGTTTTTTCAAAGGCTGTGGATTGGAACGGATGCACGGTGGCGCTAGAGGAAGTGCGAGTGGAGCTGGGAATGTGACAAACGGCGGCCATTTTGGGAAGGAGGAAGCGGCTAACCTTTAAGAAGAAAAACGCTAGCTATAGACTACAAAAGGAACTGAGTAACGTTGAGAAGAACTTCAGGTTTTCATGTTGTTTGTGTGGACTGACTTAACCAAAGGTAGTTGCAATACAAGTCCAAGAACGACGTAGCTATTAAGCCATTACATTTACTTTCAAAAGAACAAAAAAATACGAGATTATTCTTGAAAACGTCTTCAGGAGAAAAAAAAAAAAGCGGCCATGACGGCTTTTAGCAAAACAGTGTCTGAAGACCTTATGCATGTTAGCTTGATCTTTAAGCTCGGATCTCTACCTTCCACGAAAAGATTCTCATCGTAATTGCTCATTTGACTTGGTCTGTGTCGGTAAGGGCTCTGCAGTGAAAAATAAAGCAGACCATTTGAAAAAAACAAAAAAACAAAAACAAAACTGAAATCTTCACTTCACTCCTCTCCAGAGCATGTCACGCACCGAGGAACCCACAAGATGGCGCCACCCCCTCAGGCTCGGACACCTCTCCCGCACAGCCTGCCCGCGCGGTCGGTGGCGCCTTTTCACGACCTTCACGATTTTTCCCGCCATCGCAACACACTGGAAACCACCTCAAAACCAGGACCTATGCACTGTTTTTTGCATGTTGTCCCGATTCTTGCACCCCCCCTCTTCTTCCACCCCTCTACCCTTCTCCCCTCCTCTTCTTCTCTTCTCTCTCCATCCGAACCATCACTGAGAACATTCTGTGTGCTAAAAATTTCTTCTAGAGGTTGTATGGCTTGTCAAAGAGACTGCATGAATCTTTTTTGTACTAGGGAAATCATCGTCCGAAAATAGTGACAATGACTTCGGGGACACCATCCACCACTATAGGATCATTTTAATAGGAAAAAAGACACTGTGCGCAAATGCCTGTCGTTCAAATCACCTTTCACAATAAGCTAAGGAAAATTGCTATAACTGTACATAGATATACTACTTTGAAAGATGACATAGCGAAAAGTATTTATTTTTGTTGCTTTAGTCCCTCATGGTTACTCATATATACATATATTGTACAGTCTAGATACCTAAATGGGTGAGAAAAAAATATAAAACTTATTTTGGCTAATGATTTCAAAGTCTGACGATTTTGAAATGTATTGAATATATGGTGTACATTACTTTGTACATGTATATGTTTGTTTTGGCCTGTCATATTTTTTTCCTTTTTGTTTTATTTTTCTTTTTTTTTTGAGAACGAGGTAGGGCATGAATGGTAGAAACCGAGATTCGCCGAAAATTTTTGCGGAAAATTTTGCGGAAAATTTTTTGCATGGACGGTTTTTGAAAACAGGACGGGGACACACTCGTAAAAGAAAAAAACAAAACAAAAAAGAAAACAAAAAGTAGCTGGTAGATGTTTTAGACAAAAAAGGGAAATCGCATTCAGCAGCCAACTTTTAATGCAATATGAAAAAAAAGTATGCAACCATGACAGTTAACAGTTCATTTTGCCAAAGATTTAACCATCTATGCTAACGGCTACATGTTTCTTTTAATTTTTTTTGTTTTTTCGTTTGTTTTTTTCAGTTTCAACCCAAAACCGCGTCGCTTTTTACTGGTGTCGTGCCAAAACGTATGCATCCATTTTGGAAAAAGTCCGAAAAATTCACTCACGAAAAATTTCAAAAACTCTGTCGACTGCTGCTCCGTTTTCTCCGGCCCTTCTCCCGCCTCTTTTATTTATTCTTATTTATTCTTTTAAAAAATCTGCAAGTTTTACCGTTTTAGGAACGGGTGAGTAATTTTTTGGTGGCACTTCATTGAAAGCAAAGAGGTATCATGCACTCCACTACATTAGTTTCAAAATGTAAAAAAGTGAAAAAAAATAAAAATAAAAATGACAAAAAAGAATAACAATTGTCCATAGTGGTAGTGAAATTTCCCATGCAGCATTGTACCTGTTGCGTTGAATGAAGGGTTACTGCTGGGCGGACTTGCGTTCCTTCTGGGCGGTTGAATGTGCGACAATGGATGTATCTGAAGGCTTGGGAGTTCAGTTTGCGCTTATCATTTTCATTATATTGTCATGGCTAACCTGTTCCTAAGGAGAAAAAACATTAAAGCAATACAAATCAACCGTGTTCTCCTGTTATTTATGTATGTATGTGGTAGAATTTACGCCAACAGTTGTGTGTTCTAATGTTTCCTTGTCACAAACAGACCTGGTGTTTTGTGGAGTTGTTTCATTCACACACGTTTAACACACAAATCCTGAATATTTAAAGTTTTTCTCTCAAACCTGTTCCACCTTGTGATGTCATGTACAGGAAGTGCTTCGCTGTGTTTTTAAACTCCATACGTCTTCACTAGTAGCGGCTGGTCAATAGAGGGCGCAAGTGTGCTGCACTCCCTAACTCGACCTAGATTTAAAAAAATATATACATATATATATATATATAGGCCTGGTTTAGTCCAAGTTTAGATCTGGTTTAGTCCTAGTTTAGACCTGGTTTAGGTCAAGTTTAGATGTGGTTTAGTCCTAGTTTAGTCCAACTTTAGTCCTGGTTTAGACCTGGTTTAGTCCAACTTTAGTCCTGGTTTGGTCCTAGTTTAGACCTGGTTTAGTCCTAGTTTAGACCTGGTTTAGTCCAACTTTAGTCCTGGTTTGGTCCTAGTTTAGACCTGGTTTAGTCCAACTTTAGTCCTGGTTTAGTCCTAGTTTAGACCTGGTTTAGTCCTAGTTTAGACCTGGTTTAGTCCTAGTTTAGACCTGGTTTAGTCCTAGTTTAGTCCAACTTTAGTCCTGGTTTGGTCCTAGTTTAGACCTGGTTTAGTCCAACTTTAGTCCTGGTTTGGTCCTAGTTTAGACCTGGTTTAGTCCTAGTTTAGTCCAACTTTAGTCCTGGTTTGGTCCTAGTTTAGACCTGGTTTAGTCCTAGTTTAGACCTGGTTTAGTCCTAGTTTAGTCCAACTTTAGTCCTGGTTTGGTCCTAGTTTAGACCTGGTTTAGTCCAACTTTAGTCCTGGTTTAGTCCAACTTTAGTCCTGGTTTAGTCCTAGTTTAGACCTGGTTTAGTCCTGGTTTAGTCCTACTTTAGACCTGGTTTAGTCCAACTTTAGTCCAGGTTTAGTCCTAGTTTAGACCTGGTTTAGTCTAACTTTAGTCCTAGTTTAGTCCTGGTTTAGTTTTGGTTTAGTTCAACTTATAGTTACAGTGTTAATATTATATAGTGTTAATGGTAAAATAATACGTAAATGAGCTCGGAGCTGACGGAGCTGCTCCGGTTGTTCTGCCATGCACGGTTTAGTCCTAGTTTATACCTGGTTTAGTCCTAGTTTATACCTGGTTTAGTCCTAGTTTATACCTGGTTTAGTCCTAGTTTAGACTTGGTTTAGACCTGGTTTAGTCCTAGTTTATACCTGGTTTAGTCCTAGTTTAGACTTGGTTTATTCCAACTTTAGTCCTGGTTTAGTCCTATATATAAAGTTGTTATTTTGTATAGGCTATATGTTTAATATTTAGTTTAAAATTGAGCGTGTATCTGCATAGACATATTTTTATCATGTTAAATGTTCTAATATCACTTTATTTGGTTCATGGGTTCAGAGGCTTAATGGAAGAGGTCTATGGAAGAGCCTGGAGTTTGGAGAAAATGTGACGCCATGAAATGAAGTGATTGGTCTTAAACGTGATCACACACCTGCAGTGCTGGGGAGTAACGGATTACATGTACCAGAGTTATGTAATCAGAGTACAAATTATGAGTAACTGTATTCAGTTACAGTTACTGTTTCAATGAGTGGTAATTGGATTACAGTTACTTGGGTGAAATAAATGGATTACACGGCGGTATTTTCCTGTTTTCACATTTTGGGCTATTCCACTTTTTTTTTTTTTTGTAATTCCGCTCATTGCCGGACACTAAACCAGGTCTAAACGAGGTCTAAAACCAGGTCCAAACCAGGACTAAACCAGGTCTAAAACCAGGTCTAAATCCATTACTAAACTAGGACTAAACCAGGTCTAAACCAGGACTAAATCATGCTGCATGGATCATGTCTCTTCATCTTCTATCAATAATATTTTTAACACGATTCAGTAAAGTCTGGGCTTTTTATTTTCTTTCAACAGACAAAACATCTTATGTTACGATTTCCTCGTCTTTGTTTCTCTACAGCAAATCAAGTAATCCAAAGTATTCAGATTACGTTACTCACTTTAAGTAATTTAAGGGATTACGTTACAAACTACATTTTGGGGTATGTAATCTGTAATCTGTAGGGGAATACATTTTAAAAGTCACCTTCCCAACACTGCACACCTGATACTGATTCAGCTGCTCTGTCTGTCGCGCCCAAACCCAACTGCACTGGCGCCATTTATACAGTTACAGCGGGTTCAACTTCAAGTCAAAATGCGTCCGAGGAACAGTTTTTAGGGAGTAATATGTCTTTTCGTCAGCGGGACTCTTCTGCCAAGTAAGAGAAGAAGCATTAAGATGAAATGAGTGCGTCTGGCTGCGGGGACATTCTACGACTCTTATTCTGATTCACACACTGGCTAATGGCGGCTAGCGACTTTAGTCGAAACTTCCACACAGGAGAGGACGAGAAGAGACTCAAAACACAAACACAGACTCAGACCCGCCGCCGGGACACTCCCTCACTGCTCTGTCCGGCCGTTTCTGTGAGTAAAAGTGTGACCAGGGCGTAGTGCAGAGGGCTTAAGTCCACCTGCTGCCCTGGTGCTAATGTGGACTGAGGTCACTTTTACATTTAAGTGGGAAGTGGGATTACTTTTAGAATCAGCTCGTGCACTCGGCTCCGGGACCTCGCGTCGCGAACCTGACTGGACCGGGACTTGGACCAGTTTGATCTCTTCATATTGGAGACAGAACCAACAGGACAGCGGATAGAGGAAACACTCTGCTCCAGTCTCTGGAGAAGGTAAGAGGCTTGTTTTCATCAGTTTGGGGGAAAATCGGAAGATGGAGTCTCACAGGTAAATAGTGT